TCTATGAGTGAACAAAAGCTGACAGCTGATATGGCAACAATACCAATCAAGTGTATTGTTTGTTGTGGTCATAATGGAGCTTCTTCAAGATCTTGTTTAGGTTAAGAATCATTAATCGTGTTTATTTGTATTCATAAATTAATGGATTGTTTATATTTTCAAACACACTAGAAGGACCAGTTCACATGGTTTGGGCGTTATATAAAATGTTCTACGATGGATAATTATCGTTTGCGAAACTAAAATTTAGAGGTAATTTTTTTTCAGGTTAATCTAATATTTAATAATGTGGACAATTTGTGCCTCAGCCTTGTCTGTTTGAATTAAACCAGGCGATGACAGGATACCGACTAAAGAACCAACGTACTTTTACCTTATACAGGGTAGATTTTAGAGATTTAGATTCACATAAATTTTACTATCACACATGTGGTCTTCGTACACATTTTGTAAAAATAAATCCTTTGATTTGTTACATAAGATCAATTATATTGTTGAAACCCCATATTTTGTTTACAGTAGGCTACATAGCAGTAGCCTGCAATGTTGTACGACTACACCAATATAGTTACGCATAGCAATAACTTTCAGTTTATTGAAGGCGTACAGTATTCATATGTCAAAGTAGGTTTTGAATCGGTACGGATGTCAATAAAGTCTCAAGGTGTTTTTTTTTATCTGAGTAAGACCAGAGCAGGATATATAATTACCACCACTGACTATTTGTGGTTTTTTATTGACAAAATAATAGTTAGATCTAGGTAACAACGCAGGCAGTCGTTTTCTTTCATATAGTTTGTAAATAATTAAATTTAAATGTTAAAAATCACCAAACGAAAACCTATTTATATCATTAATAAAGATATAAGATTTATTCAATACATGTTACAATGAAAATAGGAAATTGTGTCTAATTAAACGGTAAATTCAAGGAATTATATTTATAAAGTCTGCATATTTAACAAAAGCTGTATTTTGAACAATCTACTGTATTAAATACATTAGTGCTAAATTTTTTTTCAAAATTTACCTGAATTCAACATTATTTTTAAGACATATATTAGAAATTCACTCTGTTTTTATATTGTATATGCTGGTATCATATGTATAATTAGTTCTATTTTCGGTTTATGGAAAACATTTATTGTGTTTTAAGAAAGTCGATACATTGTGTAAACTAATGTTAGAGGTAAACATTCAATAAAAACAAAGCCCTTCTTCTTCGTTTATATCCTAAAGGAAAGTTTATCCGAGAAAGAAACCTAGAACCAAAGACAAATAGATATTGCTTCGAGAAGATATGTTACTGTTTAACAAAAACAAGAGGGTGAAAACAGCCAACTTGAGCTGCAAATATGACCCTGTATGCATCATTTGGCGAGTTTTATACTTGTTTTGAGCTTTCATAAATTTATTAACAAGTATTGCACTTAAAAAGGCGCTGATAACGATGAGAAGAACCATTTAAACTTTAGTACTCCTAAGAACTCAACTTCTCTATGGACCTTTGAAGGTGAATAACACAAAATATGGAACATAAAACATGTTAGATCAAATAACTACACATATATGTTAGTTATTATAAATGTAGAATAGCTATGGTACTGCAAATAATGATCATGTGAGTCAAGGCCGATTACAGTAATAACGTTCACAATGCCAATGTCTGGCTAAGGTCAATTATTCTGCAATTGACTGGAGGGGGACGCAGAATTGTACACATCAGAGAGAGAAATATAATATATTGGTACATAAAAAATAATGATTTTGGCTATAAACTTCAAAGTAACTTAGATCTACCATGAGATAGGACTCTCTAAAGTAAGCCTGATTATTGGAGCGGTTGTACCATTAGATTTATTTATTGTCCTTACATGCACTTTTCATATTGCATATTATAGATTAATTATGTATATTCATGCCATCGGTCTTCAGATCTGACGTTTCCTGGTTTAGTCCAGTGTGAAGTCGTACCAAGATTACATTTGACACTAAAGAACTATTATCGATGCTCTTGTCAGGGTGTGTATCTTTATCTTGAAAAAAATAAAAAATATTCCTGATGGCGTAGGAAATAAAAATAATTGCAACAATTGGAAATAAAAATACCAGTGGGACAAAGAAGTTCCTAAAACGTCCATCAGACCATTTGGTTAATTCCTTAGAAGAAAATCATTGCTCCCTGACAAAGTTATTATCACTAAATAATTAATTAAGAGCCAGATTTCGTTTTGAATGTCAATAAAATCTTAAATAACTTTAACTGGGCAGAAAAAAAATCACCTTCATAAGACTTTAAGACCAAACAACCTATAAGTCACGAAACGCAGGCTTTCAAAAACTATTGGTGTTCCATTGCTAAGTTTGAAATATTTTCAAATCTTAGCAAAGACATATTTTTTAGAATAGTGAAAGTTTGGGGGTATTTTTCTTTTTTACTTTAGACGGACTATTTATCGCCCTTGAAAATCAGTGGTGTAAGAAAAAGGAATTTTAAATAAAAATAGCATTCTTTTATTGACTAGTAGTATAGGCCTACTGAAGTTGCAAGGCACAATGCGAATGCGAGAGCAGTTAGTGACAACGAACAACTCACATGGTAAAAATTAAATACTCTGAATTACATCTCCCTACATACACCTGATACAACATTCTTTCATGCCTACTGTGACAGAGGTGGCACAATAGTCTTTCTATGTAGTTTTGAAACATTACTGAATTTATTTTCATTGTTAATCATAAAATACGTTTACTTCAAAAGTATAAATTTAGGGTACCTTCATAGTATAAGGTATAAGCTCAGGTAACCATGGCACTGTTTTGTGTATTATTTGCAAGCAGTCAGGTCCCAATGCTAACAGGTTTAGTATGCAAATATGTCAAAGGGAAAATGAAATCTTGATAAACTCTTGCTTTTAATCGAACTCTTGACAACACAGGTCTTAATATAATCTCTGTATAGGAATAATGTACAAAATATACGTGTCTGTAAGTCATAAGACGAATAATCCCATGAATGAAAATTGTTATTACTTGAGTTTCTCTCATTTTCTGCATACGAATCAAGCGACATCAGTTTCAAATACGTATATTTTCAAGAAGGACGAAATTTCCCTCAATCAATTATGTTCACGTTTATTTTCTCCCCTAAAGTTTATTGAGAATGTATTGTTTTTGTCAACGTTGTTTTTTTTTTTATTGAGATTTCGGTTTAAATATCAGTTTTCGGTCCCTCTAAACCGTGATTTTCGAAGTTGTATATGTATGAGTAAGTGGGTGTGTACAGTGTAGGCTTACAGAGGTAACTGTTGTCCAATTTTTTATTTATTCTTTTGTTGCAATTTTGGTGATTTTTCCCATACTATCACAGTTACGCAACCATACTCATGATATTACAAGCTAATGCAACAAAGTATGTATTAGATTTCTGATACCGTTATTTTCATTATTTCATAAATGTTCAGTAGATATGACGAATAAAGTAATCCGAGTTCACTACACACAAATTTAGAACCATACAAAATTTTTCTCAGCCTGTGAAAGGGCAGGTGCCTTAAAATTATAATTATAAAATTTTAAGAAAATATTAAAGGGCAAGTTATTTTAAGCTTACCACTTTTCAGCCAAGTCAGTAAAACTAACGCTTAGCATAAACCCATGTAACTGTGTCTAAATAAATTTCGTATTACAGTTATATATTAAATAATAAAAAAAAATTGTTTTACTTATCTAAATCTAAAACTCTCTAAACTTATCTAAAACTAAAGTTCTATCAATACTTGAACATTATTCATTGATGGAAATTTGGTAATTCTTGAAAATATACATATTATCGTGCTTAAATATCGATTATTTTGATACAGAAATACTGGTTTGAAAGATAACCTCAAAAACAAGATGCATTACATTTATATAAGCAGATCTAATTTTATATATTATTTAAATAAGACTGAACAACGTTAACCTCAAAAATCCGCTTCGTTAAGTTGTCTCTGCTCGTGAAACCACACAACAAGTTATCTCGGTTGCAGAACACGTACACGTTCCTACTGTAACACAGTCGAGTGTGTTAGTTTGTGTTTACAATTGGTGTTTAGCTTCTTGTTAGAAGGTAATAGACAATTTGTATGCTGCAAGCCAGCTCATATGAACACTGTCTGATCTTACAGACAGAATCTGTAGCAAAGCTTAGGCCTTGTATTGGTTGGGCTGTGTTACCTCAGTTTCCTTTTGAATTTGCATTGGTTTTATTCATAGATTTATTTGCTTTTTTTTGATAGTGCAATGGGTTGGGGTATTTTTCGTTATATATAGAAGTAGGACACAAAAGTATTTTTTTTTTTTATAAAGTATTAAGTATTGAATGTATGTGCAAATGCATTGTTGAAAGAAGTTGCAGGAGTTAAAATGCAGTACTTAAAAATACAATGCATATGGCTACTTTATTAAAATTTCATATAGAGGTTTTAAATTATGTAAATTAAAGTAATTGTGTTTGTATATACTCATGATAAAATCTTACTAGATTTATTTTATACCTTAAAAGTCTCTGTAGGAATTTAAAGCTAGTTTCAATAATAACAATCATAAACAAATAATTATGTTATGTTAGTATGCAGCATCATAAAGCTTTATTTACACCATCCCAAAACTAAAACACTTAAAAAACAAAGATAAATTATAAATAAACACAACCAATTCGCTTGAAGGCGTCCCTAGTGGAGTTAGAGCAAAAATTTAGTGACAAAATTCATAAAAACTTATATGAACGTTGTTTTTTTTATCGTTTATACGCTTCAATTGGTTGTATTAGTTGTATTGGTTGTATTGTATTCCCAAACATCACAAACAGAAGATGCTTTATTTCAAACTATAATATTTATCAATGTTCATCCCATTAGAGAATGGTATATACAACATTAAATTACCCTTACTCTTTTTATAAATATTTTTATACCCAAGGTGGAATTTTCACAGGTAAAAATAAGGGAAATGAAATGTACAAAAGACTGTTTAGTTTATTATGAAACATTTGTCTCGTCACAGCCAGGCTCTTGGAAGGTCATATAACAAAGAACATTCCTTGAAACAGTGTAAAATGAGCCTCATTATTTGTCATATCTAGTTTCTAAATGTTAGTTACACAACAATTCTGTTTGAATTAGTTAAGTGTTGTAAATTTACTGCCTATGATGAAATATTTTATTTTTATTTTAATACATCTTTTACAAATAAATGACAGAGTTTATTTTATATGATTCATTTATTTAAAATTTACATATAAAAATAAAATAATCCTATGCTTTTCAACTTTCAATAGAGACCTTGCAAAGTTTTGTTTTTAATGTCAACATTCAATATCATAGAATTGTCTTAATGAGTTTTATACATCTTAAGGTAATTGATTTATAACCCTTTGATCTCTCAGATGGCTTCTTTTTCACAATTTACTTGGTCCACTTTCTTGAATTCCTTGGGGTCTAATGATTTATAATTTCCTAAAACTCTACTAGTTTTCTGGTAGTACTCCTCCTCTTCTTCCGGTGTCAAATTCTTCTTTCGGCTCATTAACCAGCTGCAATCTAGACAAAATTAACCAAAACATATTGAAATGGTCTGTTTTTATGTAAACAAATCGGTGTTTATGTCAGACAAGCAAATGGTAAACTATATTATATGGCAGTTTGTGGCAGGTAAACAAAGTCTAGTAAGAGTAATATAAAGTAGGCACAAGTTACAATAAAACATGTATATCAATCATTTGATGACTCAAGTAATGAAATCTCAACACTATCTCCATACTGGTAATATACAAAAACACATTTTAAGGTAAATTACGAATATTTTGAGCAAATGCGGGTTGTGTCTAGTAATTTTACACTGCAAAACCACAGTACCGGTAAACCATGATACCACGATTATAAAACAAAATGATAAATTTGACTTTTTATGATACCAGACCCTCTCCGAGTTATCATACTTCATAATATATAAATGTGTTTTTACAAATATTTATTATTTACTATTGTAAGTGCAGCAAAACATACGTTAAACATCATCAATTATTCATTGATTTATCTTATTTTATTTTTTGAGAAACAATTCATATAGAATTCATCACGAAAGTAAAAGGTTTGAAAAACAAACGTGGGGTAAAAATTAGTAAACAAGTTCATTTCAGGGTTAAAAAATTCATTGGTGGCTTAGGAAGATACCCATCTATTTAACATACTAACATCTTAGCATACGTCCTAACTAACATGATTCTAACATAAGTTAATCTTAGGCTCTACAGAAGTTGGCTGACCTCCCAATCAGTAAGCCTTCGTTATGTTTCCTGGTAAGTGAGACAATGTCTAGGCCCACACCTCTCACCCATCAATTAGCCTCAATACTAACGGTAAACCACGATAACAATACCGGTACACCCTATACTGTGAAGTAGTAAAGCATAGTAGTTCGATACTACCAGGTTCCAATGTTTAATTCTCGTGTATAGTTTTCAGCTATATTCGATGTCTTACACATTTCTTAATCTTTTAAAAATGAGAACTGTATTTTGTTTCATCACTAATAATGTCTTAAGGGTGTAAAACAACGATACAATCCAGTATAGTTATTGAAGTTTAGCATTTATTTTTTTCACTAAAAATACGTTTCTGAACATTGTACGCTCAAGAAACAGTATCTTTATGTCATCATGCGAAGACTAGTTGCCATCCTTTATCGGTTTTCAAAATATAATACCACCTATGAGATGATATTGAGCACTGTATTACATTGTATGATAGATTGGTTCTATTGCTGTTTGGGTATAATTTTCCCAGAGTTTATCTTACCGTAATGAAGAATGCCGAAAATGCTTCCGCATCCATGCACCACCGAGTAGTTGATCCTGTCGGTGTCCAATACGGTGTAAGCACCCTCCACTTCTCCCCAGACTGGAAAGGAAGAAATAAATAATATTATAAAATATTTGTTTCATGAAGTAGCTTTATTGTACTTTCCAATGACAAAAAGTCTTAAAATTCGGTTTTAAAGAACGGCAGGAAAAGGGATGTAACATTGGAAACCTTTTCTTAAGTTTAAAGAAGATTGAACATATTCTTCACCACAACACGATGTTTTTAGCCGCTTTACAAACGTTAAATGGTGGCTGAAAGCTACGTATTTTTATCCACTCGACCTCTCCTCCAACTAAAAACATGATTTCGAGCCGGCAAAACTATATTTTCGGCCCTAGGTACGAAATATACTATTTCATTTTATATTTCTACTATGAAATCGAACCCAGCATTTTGAAAACTTGTTTGGCTACCTAAACTATTTGACAAGGATTTCGCTTGGTTTGAAAATTCTCTTCACTTAGTTAAAAGAATATTCGGAAATATTTTAAACAAGAGAGAATTCGATGAATTGTTGAACAGTGCATACCTACTGGTATTAATTGTCCATAATTACTCTAACTATATTGGTTTAGGCTGCCATTTCATTTGTACCTTTCACAATACCATGAAGTCCTCGTTTGCAATAGTTTTCTTGGTAAGTATAGTAATATAATCATGAAATTATAAAAATGTTTTTAAATAAATTTGTCGAAGGAATAAAGATTAACCAGCTTTTCAGCTTATTTTATTTGGAGAAGATGTTGAAAACACTTAAATTATTATATTTATTACATTATTTAGGTTTTTTAAGCATTTGACAATAATAAACGATTGTAAATGTTTGATGATTTTAATAGTTGTAAAGCCAGCAAGCACTATATAAATACGATGCCAAATGTATTAGTGGTATTAAAAAACAAGGTGTAAAACATAATGTCATTACATATTTGTGCAGTTTTTCTTTAAACTTAGTAAGAAATTCATGTATACTTGTACTATTTTCTGTCTAAATGCATAATTAATCCAACATACTTTATTTTGGGTTTCCATTTTAGTGTACATTTTATCTTGGCCCTAGTCAGAGTTCAATATTGTTTGTAAAAAATAAAAGGAAATGTTTTCATAATTTTTCCCGAAGATAACAGATTTTGTTTATTGAGAAACCCGTCAAAGATAAGCTGCCTAATAGCTGAGCTAGAAAATTTCTAAATTGAAAATCGAAATAACAACTTCTTTTACTAGCTATTCAGCACTATTAGCTAATATCTATTTAGCTATTAACTTTTACTTGCTATTCGTATCATTATATGGTTAGCTTGGATCAATGACTAAAGAAAGTCACCATAACGTTAAGCCACCAGCCCCAATATCGAATTGGAAATTCTTAAATAGATAAATTTGAGAGTACATTTCTCCCTCAAAAAACGAGGTTTTTTGGAGGGGTTTTCTTGCAGGGTCTCTCTTGCAAGGATTTTTCTTGCAGGGTTTTCTTGCAGGGGTTTTTAGCAGGGTTTTTCTTGCAGGGATTTTCTTGCAGGGTTTTTCTTACTAGTTGTCTTATTGCAGTTTTCATGTAATACTGAACTTTGTATCTCATGTTAGCTGGCATTTACGGTTCTTTTCTGACAAAGACCCTACGCTATCATTGACCTGGCTAGATATACAGCTCATTCCCTATTCAATAATCATTCTTCATTTAGTTTGGGTTGAAAGAACCCATATTTTTATCTTTATCAAAAATATTACAGTATATAAATATAGCAAAAGGGTGTTTAATGATTTAAATTTGGACCCAGCCGTCATCGCCCATTGGACCTGTATATACGTGCGAAACAATCACTATAATATTTATCTTGAATAATCTTTTTTATCAGTATTTGCATTTGAATGTCCCTTACACGACCTTCTTCGAAAATAATGATCAAATGCAACAGAGGAGTTTGTTTCCAAGCAGGTTGACTATTCTAGTCTTTACATCCCTAGATGCTAGGCTCTGCTCCAGGATTGTTTTTCACATCAATTCAGGCTAGTTTTTAAGGTTATAGCTTAGACAAAATCCATTTGTAATTGGTGGGATTCAAACCCGGAACCTCAAAGACTAAATTTTTGTACACTACCACTAGGACTAACTCACTCCCACTGATCATTAATTAAACCTGGCTAAATTAACAGATGTTACCAACAAATCTACACAAGGCGCATCGACTATTCTAAAAACATCCTTCACATTTATAAATCCTTGGACACTACCTATTTTCAACTGTGATACAATGTTACAACAGTTTTGTTTTTTAGGGGTTGGCTGCTATCGCCTCAGTCAGTGCATTGGAAAACGGACCTCGATGGAAGTTCCCCAAGTTCATCTGTTCTTTGACCTGGGGTTTGAACGTGTACAATCCCGTCCACTACGTCGTTCCACAGTTTCTCTTCAATTTTGGATGGAACAAAATCTATTGCCCTCTCTACCTCAAGCCGATGATGAGAAGGTGTGACAAAGTAGGTCTCTTCGTCGTCGATCAAGTGAAACACACTAAAACGTACACTTTGCAAATGAAAAAATCAGGAGACGAATCCACTAAACTAAGTTGTCTTGATAAAGCGCCCCCGCAGAAACCCTAGGATGGACCTCAGCATTGAGGATTCAGGATTGTAATATCTTCTTGATTGTTTCATAATGTCACTGGTAAATACCTTTAAAATGACCAGTTCAAATGTTTTACTACCTTTTCCCAATACACTACATACTATTCAGTCATAAGAATCGTTTTTCACAATTCATTACACACTATTTAAAATATAGTTATTATAAGGCTCAAAGAGGTTTAGATTTTTTAAAGTTAACAGCATGTAGTGTTGGTTATAAATCTATTGGGTAAATAGTATGGGCATGAGTTTCGATACATTTATTATTTTAGTAAGTATTGTTTGGATTCTAAATACTCTCTACTGTACAGCAAACGGCAACTGTTGTGAACGTCACAGTTTTATCACCATTTCTAAATAATTAATTGATCGTCAAAAAAGAAACACCTACTTAGAACGCCTAATTATGGTTGGTATCAATGACATTTTAATTACGGTACCATTCGCAGGAGTGCCAGATCGTAACCTTTAATAACACCTTAAAAGTAAAAATTGATTAAGTAGTACGATTGGAAAAGGGGTGTAACAGAGGAAGCCCGTATTGTATACATATTAAATACATACAATATTAAATAGTCAACGGTCTTCCTTAATCTAAATTATAGACTTCCACGGTCACGGCGGATTGACAAATCTAGGTCTTTGGGTGATGGTTGTAAGCGTCTTCGTTGTTGAAAGAGTAAAACTAGAGGCCACCGTTTCAGATGCGTAGCAGCTATCCATCTTCGGAGTTAACAACTATTTAACCACTAATGAGTTGAATAGTACTACCTACTGCAGTATTGAATTGAATACTTCGCCCCAAAGATGGATAACTGCTACACACCCGAAACGTTGGCCTCTAGTTTTTCTCAACAACGTGGTCATTACCCGTAGACCTAGATTTGACAACGGTCATCCCTGTCTAAACTTACAGTATCAGCATATTAAAGGTATACTTACTGGGAATTGTGAATTTCACTTTAAACTTGCCCTCATTTTTGGTTACGTTCGCTGGTGCTGCGTTGGCGTCTAATCTTTCCCACTTGTTGTTACTGCAAAACATAAGTGAAATTATTCAACTGATACATCAAACAGCACAGTGATCACCAATGGTTCGTGTGACGGCTAATATCACAGTGTTGGTCCTCAAAAATATCATAAGCAATTCATGCATGTCTTTTAGAGTAAAATTAGAACAAATAAGTGAGTGGTTCAAGTGTTCATATTTAAATGTTAACCGTTATGAGGGTTGACAATATGATTTACAGGACCTAAAATATTTTAGGAAGTGTTTTGCTCACCCAGTAATTTTTCCATAGGAATCTATGAGTTTTAGTGTTATTGGGAATATGCCTATTTTGTGAACAAGTCTCAACTTGGTGCAATAAAACTAAACCTTAAATAACTAGAACAATGCATGCTGATCGGCAATGAAGTAAAGAAAACAGGGATAACATCATATGAACTGGTTTTGTTGTTCAAAAGTGTCTCACGGTCGTTGTAACTGATTGGGGTACGTTAAAAAACACCCTGTATTTAAGGAATTTCCAAAAAAATGTCATGTTTTGACATTTTCCTGACACCTAGACGAATAGTCAGTGAACTAACAATAATAATCCTTATTAATTAATGAACTGTCTTTATCAGAATACATTAACTTAACAATATAAATATTTCCCAATTCCTTTTTTGTATCAAGAACTAGGTTACCTAAATTATCACACAGCCCTCTATTATAATGAGTGACACTGCGTATTTTTACGAGTTAACACATCAACGTTTACTTGAAATTCCAAAGAAACATTTTGGTTTAAATATTTATAACTATTTAAAATTTAAATGCAATGAATGTTATAAAACTAAACCTGCCATAAAAAGATATACAATCTAAGCAATCTATGATTTGTGGTTACAGTAGAAAATACAAGTTCTACGCACCTTATAGATAGCTATACCTTTAATGCACGCAAATCAAGGTTTTCCAAGAAACAACGATGCAAAAATAACATACAAGTCATATTTCCTACACAGAATTTAAAATCCATAATGTATAATGATATTCAATACTTACTCCTCGTTGAACTGGCCAGTCTGCACCAAAATGTTATTGTTCAGGGGGATGTATTTGTAGTTAGCAGCCATACATCTGCCCTTTCCTTGTAGTATTTCAGTATCGTAGCTGGATTGGACGTACCATTTACCAAGGAACTAACACATAAAAAAAATAAAAAAATAATTTGAATTGAAATTCCATCTTTTAAGTGGTAAATGTACTTTCTTAAATATCAACATTTATTAATAATTTTTCTTGTAAATTCTAGTTCAATAATGTAGGAACTACCAAATTTTAGTGGTTTATTTTAAGATAAAATTAACAATAACTAGAGTATGACAGTAAGAAAACACAATGCACGATAAAATCACTTGTCATTTAAAGACCAAACAGATTACTAACCCATTAAGAGGTGTTTAGGTACAAAACCCTAATGGAACTTCTTCTCCCATCTACTCTTAATAATAGCTAGATAGCTATTTTATGACTTCTGAAAATAGATGTTCCCATTTTTATACATTTGTTCCACTTTATCTCTCTCTATTAGCCTACTTATTTTGAGACAAAATATGTTTAAGTAATCTCAGGAGACTTTATTTTTCTTTAAAGCTCGCACATTATGAAATATATTTATTGTGATTTTAAATCGACGCTGAACAAAATAAATGTTATTAAAGTTTAGTAGTACAGATTTGTATTCGAGTGGAATAGCTTTTCATATCTTTTTATATTCATGGTTTATTGTTTTCCATAACTTCTCTACCCCACTGGTATTAGAGTAGTATTAGTAGGAAAGCCAGCCTTTAAATCTTCAGTTATTCAAGAAAATGTATGTATTACATGAAAACAAACTATATGAAACACCAGCTTATCACATCAATTTTGCTTTTTAACTGTTTTAACGGGTAGATAACGCTATTGATTTTTGGCTTCCATGGTAAATATTTCTTCTGCGTGAACCAGTTGTAGCTAAATCGTTATTCTATTATAACCTATTTAGTGTGACAACTCAAAGAGTTTGCTACTGGCAAAATATATTTCATTACTTCATTAACGACTCTTTGATAATTAATTGATATGATTATGCCACAAATACTACTAGAATAGGCCCAGTGCTGATCAAAACGTAAACAAATGATGTTACTCGTCAAAACGGAAAATTTATTTAACATTGCTTAAATGGAACTGTCTAAATCACATGTTAATGCTATTAGTATAGGATTTGGGCATGCAACATCATTTGTTTATGTTTATGATCCATACCGGTTCTGTTCAAGTATTCGTGGATTATGCTATGGTTTTAATTACGTTGATGGCACAGAGTTGTAATCTTACTTGAGTGAACTAGGTTAATTGAATATTAAGGTATTCAAAACTAAGCAGTTTTAACAGAAATTCCAATCTGTCAGTAGTGTTTAACAATTAGTATTCAACAATGATCATGTTCCTCTCATAATTGCCACAAACTTTGCCACAGATGGGAGTGGCATTGCTATTGTTCAATTTGGTCCATTAACTGCTTGCTCCATTGCTCCATTTCTTATACAACTTTTTGACAAATTCAACTATGGGTATTCACTATAGCTGTGAAAAGCATTGTTGGGATAAACCAACACTGAGCTCTTAAATCGCTTCGAATGGCGAATAAAGACGTTGTAGTCAATAATTGCAGCTTACCGAATCAATATCAGAAAGGAAGTTCTGCTGCGCTGCTAGGTCAGGACATCCTCCAAGTTTGGGCAGTTGGAAGGCAAAGGTAAGCATTTGTGTTGCTGAAGAAATAATCAGAAAGGTCAAAAACCTCAACGGATCCCATCGACTCAGCATTGTGTAACTCAGCAAATTCTGGAATCAATATAGGAAAATCTCAATGAAATATCCTAAACTAATGTATTTCAAATTTAGTACGTTTTTTATAACATTTTAAAATTTTTTGTAAACAATAAATAATGTTATGGCCATCTTAATATCTGTTGGGGTTGTTGTATGGCCACGACAAGTAATTGACAGGTGGTTAAAAGGAAACTCTTTATGGTCAAAACATTTTGACTCCCCTCTCTCTCTCCTAGAATTGAGTTCCTCTAAAAGCGAGATAAATAAATCAACAAAGTAAAACGGTTTCATATTACGTACACTAAAAGAACAGTTTAAACTTCCGGCCAACAGTAAAGGATGAAAATTTTCCAAAAAAAACCGTAATTTACGTTATGTATATTATTTTTACGCATACATGGAAAATAATAAGCCCAATTTATATAAGTGCAAATTAAATACGTATTTAGTATTGTTTACTATTAAATAAATTAAAACTTTACAGAACGGGACACATGTGATGTTTTGTGTTTGCTAGCTGCCTTGTTCATACCCATCCTTTACTACCCAAAAACTTAATCTATTGGGTTTAAAATCGGTTCTGATTTCTTTTGTTCCTGTTTTTTAAATGCTATGTTAACATCGGTTGTAGCCATAATTGTTCATTGAAAAACCAAATTTTTCTAGACGTTTTGGTAACTGAAAAACTATTGTTCGTATTTAAGTGTAAAATAATTTAGAAATTTAGAAGTTAAAAAAAACAGGTGACTTTACAGCAGCTACAAAACGTCAGTTACGTTTGGCTACATGTGTATGACACATAAAAGACTGTGTGTGTGTTTATGTGTGCAAGAAGTGCTTAACAATTTCTAAATTATAACCTTTATTCAAGTTTAAATTTCCCTTTGTAGGTTTCAACGTTACTGACAAGAAATGTATCAGGTGCCAGGGCTTAACTTGCACCACAAACCTCTAAAAGGGAATCTTTGCTTGTAGGTAGTAAGAGGAAAATCGATGAAAAGCAAAAACACTGACAAAATTACAGATTTCTAACAGATGAGAACGACAACAATGAAAACAATTCATGAATTGAACCTAAAAAATATGTAGTTACATTTTATAATTGCAGTAATTAGGGTGTTATTACTTCATTTTGAATAATAACATCGTAAAAGGAATAGTCAATGCAAGTCATGCTTGCGTGTCACTTCATATCCTCAACAGGAAAAGGTTATTTATGCTTTAGTGTAGTTTACTACTACCGTCACATTTTTACTATGCTTTACAAGAAGTACTTTTATATGTCAATTATCCACGTAAAGAAATAGGTTAGTAATAATATTCAATATAATTATATACCTTCTTCATTTAAACACACCGTTTAAATAAACTTAAATTTCTTCCTAAATTATTTTAGTCATATTTCTTTTCAAAAGAAAGCTATCAATAGTATATTTCATCACTAGGGCCTAAAATGAATCCCCTCATCCTACACTCATCTCTATTCCATTCATATTTGGCTTAAAATACTTACATTCGTATGGTCGTCATTTCAAAGTAAAGTATTAAAGTGATCCTAATAATACGAACAAAGTGAGTATTAATAGAAGATAAGATACATCAAAACACATGAATAGAAACAAAGCAATTAAGTACCTCTCTATGTTAAAGCATTGTTCGTTGCTCTTTATTGATACATATCAACCTAGTTTGCAATATCTAAGTAGGATGGAGACATCTTTGTTCGCTGCAAGACGCATCTAGGTTACTCAATATTGCAAACCAGTTTGAATGTAGTTTTAGTTATCTAAGTACCAATAATACTCAAACCTCAAACTCCATTGTTGCTGCATCAGACGTAATCTTTGAAATATTTTAAATTTATGTTATTCTGAATGTTTGAATACTGCAGGTTTATCTTTTGCATAACGGAAACAATACATTACTCAATACACAAAACACTTCAAGCTATGCAGTCGCAACTATCTTGGTTTTGTGAAACTATTTTGTTATTGTATGAAGTGTTATCTTAAGACAATTTATGTAGTTGTAGATAATGTTGTTTGAGTTTAGTTTTACGTTTATCGAGAGTACTATTTTACTCAAACTTCTTTTATCATTTTAATCTTCAAGTCATAAGTAAACTATTTATTCTTGTATAAAGTAAGATATTAGTATTCATGCTGCTTGATATATTTGTTTTATATGAGTTTTGTCTTCTGTATAAAATCAAGAATACGAAAAAAGCTGCGTTTGCTGCAAGTCCGAAATGAATTGAATGAGTATTTTAATTTTAAAATGTATGACTCAAGCCTACTTATAAGTTTATGCCATGGTATATTGTTTATTATAGTAGTCTTGCTTTCTGTTCATTGGGAAATTAATGACTTAATGCAAAAAACTAATAATTGGGATACGTCGGATCCTTAATCATAAATTTGTATTTGTTTTAGTCTTATTTCATACTATATATATTGCATAATATTCTTATCAGTATTACTGTTCTATGACTCTGGAAACTAATTTGAATTGCACTAGCAATGTCAGCAACCTATGGATGTATTCGTATTACATCCAAAGTTCCTGCACTGTATGTTTTATTTAGCATTTATAACTACAGTGTGTGGGATTTTTTTACGGATTCATTCATAAGTAATAAAAATCCCTTTTGGTAATTGCCTATTGAATTTTAAAGTATTTAATGCTGAAAACCCCGAATTACTGCTTTTATCCCCTTCATTAAAATACACCATCCTGACTAGGAGGTGATTATTGGTAATATAATATCGGAAAATATCAAGTAAATAAACTACATATTTTAAAATTAAGTTACCCTGCATTCCACAGTCCTCCATTATTATCAATGTGGACTTTGATTTGCTTTATTTTCTTAAACAATGAATCATTCTTTTGGGACTTTCCATGTTGGTAAGTTACCATGTGACTTGATTGAAAAACAATTTATTTCCTAGACCAATAGATTTTTTTAAAGCTGTCTTCAAATAAAAAAGAGATGAGTAAGTAGCTATTCGCAAACAAGAAGTCACCTGTAGCCTGCTTTGGTGTGAATATGTTAATCAATAAATTTCCATTTTTGAAGTTTATTGATAGGATGGTTTTAGTTTGGAAACTGCAGCTCCAGACACTCAGCAACAAAAATCTACCATTTCATGTTAAGGCTCAATAATAGGCTTATTAAAAGTGTAATAGTAGCCTATATTCATCACTAGGACCGAAAGTACCATTTTCCGATACGCGCTCAAGTTTTAGGTGTGATGCAAAGCCGAACGCAGGAAAACAAATTTAACGTGCAAGGCAAAGCTGAGTATGTTAGAGCTATTTTTACGTACGAGGCGAAGCCGAAGACGGGAATAATGGAGCAAGTGTCGGAAAATAGCTTTCGGTACGAGCTTTTCATCACGAAAAATCGTCACGCAAAAATACACATATACAGAATAAAATATTTCAGTAGAGTTAAAACAGTTTTAGACAACTCTTTATAATTGAAAATACTCTTCACAACGTACATATGGTTTCATAATTGTATATTTTGTAGATAAAATTATTAATAAATACTTCGTCGCTTACTTTAATTGACTTAGCATTTTGTAATTTGTACTAGTTACTAAAATCTCTGTATTCCTATTCTCATATTTAACGTGATTTATCTGGTGAAAGGTTATTAGTTACCACTGAAGCTGTTTTCATCAAATCATCAGTAGTTAGACACAACTTACTTTGAGCAATTTCATTCACACACTATGCTAAAAACACGACAAAACAAACTAATGCCTGTTTCTGTATACTGTAGATTTAGATTGTGCAACAATAAAAACAGCTTATTTAAATCATTAATACAAACCTAACAAATGAATAAATGGAGAATTAATTGAGAGTGAGAGAAAGTAAATGTAGACTGAGCGAAAATCAGCTGATCGTTTTTCCCTCGCTCTATTATAGAGTTTGGGAAACAACAACTTTCTTTTATATCAGCTGTTACAGAAAATAGTTACTTTTGATAAGGAGTGATGAAATATATATATATTCGACCGAAACGATTCGAAATACATTTAAAACTGTATGCCTGCAGATTTATCTATTTATATTTATTTGTCAAAATAGTTTTACTAAATTTCATATTTAAAACTACATATGATTGCCTAGACAAATAAGTGCCAAATTATCTTAACGTAATTTACCTTGAACTCCTAAAGCTATGGAAGTAATATTTTACTTGCAACACTCACTGTTCTTGGCGTTGAAGCTTACAGACTATTGAGCAATATTGTCGTAGAAACTGACTAACACTTGAACAAATATTCTCCTCCCTAGAAAAGAGTGAGAGACATGATAGATAACCCACGTATACAACACAGCTGATAAACTGCCTAAACAAAAACTAAGCATATTTGGTCTTGCGGTTGGTCAACATTATTATATCTAAATGTAAATAGGTTGGTTAGGGGGTTAATTAGTCCAAAATACTTCAGTCCTTATGGAAATCTTCCATCATTATCTTGTTAAATTGATGTTGGAATTTATGGAAACCCCTACGATTTTCATAATTTACCAATAAATTCGAGTTGAGTCCGTTTATGTAAGCCTCACAAATAAAGGTTATATGATCGTGCTAGTCACTTTTGATCACCGAAATGAGTGATTAGAGGTGTAACGTTAAACCCGTTGCATTCACTAATAAATCATTTTTATCGTCACGTCAAAATTAAAAATTGATTTCGAAGCTTCGAGTAGTGCAAGTTTTTTTTTGCCCCCTTAAAGTATTTATAAATTCCTTAATTGAATAGAACTCTAATTATTTTACTTATTTTTACTGTTTTTACAATACTTATTTTAGACTTAAGTTTTCCTGAAGCTCCGATCACTTTGAGGCTTTAAGAATTGTAGGTAAAAGCAATGTAAACAAACAGCTATACGACACAGTTGTTTCGTGATATTTATTATATAATGTTTTAGGATGTAGATGACGAACAACATATTTGTCAATCACTTAAATACAAAAAAGAATTATAGAAAAACGACTATACCATGGTATAACTGTGAGCTATAGCTAAGAGCAATATACTTAATATTTTTTACCAATTTAAATTAGGGAGCAAAAATTTTGAAGGAAATGGTGCATATTTAACAAAACATAAGAATATTTATGAACAAAATGTCCATTACAGTACTTCCTATTAATTGCAACAATTGTACCTGCACTATCCGGGTCTCTTAGGGTGTGCCCTAAAAAGTTAGTTCCATAAAAAAAATTGCTAAATTGATAGATTTCTCACATTTGTAGAGCCTTGTTGCGCACAAAATTGTCCATCAACTGTTTCAAAGCTTCTGAGACTGAGCTAGTTAAACAAATAAAAATAGTTTTTGTCAGTTGTAGTGATTATTAAAGTTCCAACGTTGTAAAGGGCAATTATTAATTGTTGTATAAATTACAGTATGTAGCTAATAATAACTAAAAATCACCAATATGTTTGATTAATTTTCTTACTTTTTCAGTCCATCATATTTAAAGAAGTGGATATAATCTAAAATATGGTATAAGATATAGGTTATAGTCACAGTATAAAATAAGGTTATCATCTCATTATCAAGTCAAAGCATGCCAGAGATTGGTTATCACCATACAATTTGTATGTAATCTATATGATAATCACCAATAACAATGTAAGGAGATATATCTACAAGCTCAATAGGGTTACGTTACATTGTGGCATTCCTGTTAGTCCTATGCTATAACTAGGACTAACTAGGTATAACTATTCTATTGTTGCTTACGACAGGATAATGGAACATGGTTCGATTCGTGCGATTAAAGATTGAATGGGTCAAAGGGGAATAATTATTTAGAATGAGTAAATTAGACAACAGTTTTTTGTAAGGTGTTTTGGTAGGTAATGAAATATTTGTTTCGTCATTCTTTAGAACAAGGGAAATTGTTTCCCTACTTTTGAGGCTACTAGATCTAGTCAAGTAAATACTTATAGTTAGTGATCTTATTTTTATATCTCAAAAGATATCAATAAACTTAATTTTACCCTCAAGAGCTTGATTTGGAGCAATCGAATAAATTATTAATCGTAATTTGTACTATAAATTTCATTACCACTTACATCACCTATTTTATTATATTCAGTTAAAGGCAAACAGCCTTTTAGTTGGATACTGATTCATGAACTGCTAACTTTTTATAAAAACTTTTACATCATGCAAAGTAACAGGTTTACAACATACACAAAACTCAAAAATACGTAAAAGGAAATCTGGTGACTTGACAGTGTGAATAAACATACTAAAGTTGCTTGACATATGTGACAAAGCATTTTGTAACGGTACATGTCAATCAACGCAGAATATGACGGTTAAAAAACTAATATACTAGGTTTACTAAACATATTTTTAACCTCAGCTAAAAAGATTTTGTTTACTCGTTTTCAACAGGTGATTCTGATTAAAGTAATTTATAATAAACTGAAACCCACAGTATTTCATTAAAATATATTTATACTATCCGTTTAGCATAACAACCTAATTATTTTTAAGAGTTTGATTACAATTATTGCTGTTAACCAGGAATATACAAGACAGATCCTTTTTTTAAATTATTATTCATGAAACATTAAGAGGTTCATTGACCATAATGAGAAATCATCTATATGGCAAACATCAAAATTAATCAGTCTTATAGCTGTATAATCCTTCGATATTTTATGTGTACTATTTTTCTGTGTCATTGGCAACCTTATTTTTTAAGGCAGAGGTATTTATTTTTATAAATAAATTCTTTTCTCTAAATTTCTGATTTATCAATGTATTGATGCTAACCAAAAAACTGATTAAGGAAAAACTTTATTTCTTTAACATCGTTGGATTAAATAGTGTTAAATTAATATTCTTACCAAAATCAAACGTAGTACTTTAGTATATAAAACATAATTAGTAATTTGGTATTTCTAGTTTATTTTTTCATTAAATGCCAAATTATTTCCGACCATAACATAAATAGGCACTAGTGTCAGCAAAATTAATTTATTTTAAATAACACAATTATTCAGTTACAGTTTCCACCAAAACAGATGTATAAAATCTACATCTATAAAATATTATACTGGTTATTATTTCCTAACTTTGGGATGATTACAGTTTTTCAGCTGTGGTAAATATATCTATAACCAAAGATATTTAATACAATAAATGCAAAATAAACTAACAACCTTAGTTGAGAAAGATGCTTTTAGGTTCATCACTTCCGTCTAAGTTTGTTGTTTTCACAACAATGAAGGAGGTCAGTCAAGTCAACAATGGTCTTATTGATCCCAAATACCAGCTACAATGGGTTAATGAAAACGGCCTTTGTTTTGGGTATCTTCTTATCAAGCTCAATCAAAATGGAAGGAGGAAAATGCTGTGGGCTAATTAATATTTGTCCCCTTGACCGACTTCGTTGAACCATGAGCAACCGACATAGTTGAACCTTGTAGCGATCCTCTTCGGCGGTACGGTGTTTCCTTGTGACATTGGTTGTTCAATATATGTATCTATATAATTTTTACGATTGGTATTAAGCATACATGCGTTTCTACAAAGAAAACTAATATTTTACGATTTTCATCAAAAGGAACGGTTTTATGGAAAATAAACTTTTTACGGGTCTGGTAATTAAAAAATACTACTGTCTATAAACTATGCTAGACCCACGGAAAGCGAAAGGTTCGAATCCCTTTAGGCTTAACAAGCGTTAAGAATGTATTTTGATCTAGTTGAAACTTATGTTACCATAATTGTAACTGGTTACGTTAAGTCCGTTCATTTGAATATACAAATAAATTAAACTTAAGCCAAATTGAATAATCAAAATTTGCCAATTCTTTCAGGATTTCTATCGTATTACATACATAATTTCTTAACAATATTTTTCAGTGGACAATTTAAATATACAACATGAAATAAACAACCAAATTTGAGGTACAGCTTACAAAGAAAACAGGCATCCCTCTAATTTCCAACCGCTTATTTAAAGGAGACAACGCTTTACTCAAAACATATTATATTTTTTCCTGTTATAACTTTGTGTCCTTAAACTAAACTAAACTAGAATTTAAAGAGTTTCTATTAGTTTTGACGTGAAAAATCAGGGTCAATTACAGTATTATGTCCTAACAATACCAGGTCGACACGTCACAAACTCAAGGTCGAACTTGTTAGCTCCTGAAGAAGGCTTTCCACAGTCTTGACCTTGACCATGTAATCTGTAGCTACTAGTGACGTAGAAGGCTCGTCCTTCTGGGAACAAGAGCATCATTTCTTCACGAGGAAACCAGATGTGAAATAGTTTAAATTAAATATAATCATGAGACGAACCCACTTGTTTGTTTACGAAATAATTTAGTTACAGCTCATTTTTTCTGGTTGTGTATTTTAGTTGGGGTTTCTAAAATTATTTTGAAACTCAAACCAATTTAAATTTTGCCAGCTTTAAAGTGTTTTCCATTTTGGAGCGCTTGATTTAAGACCCACTGGATTAGATGCATTAAAAAAAATTAAAGCCTTTTTTACACCACGGAAAAATTGTTTTTAATCATGTTTTGCCGTGTACATTATCTGCAATACTCTCTTTCATAAACTTTGATAGTAATTTATATTGATCATTGTGACCGCACCATAGTTTGCTAGTTTGTTTATTTTTACTTTTCGGTACGTAAACCATTCGTAATTTATTTAACCTGATAGTTAAATAAATTGGTAACAAGTATTCGTGTATAGTAGCAAAAAGAAGATTAGTGACATTTAGGGAGCAAGCTTTCAAATGTAAACAAATTTCACTATGTTAATTTACAACCTATTCAGTATCTCAGTAACTCATTCAGCCATTAATCTTGGAACTCCAAATTATCTAGCCAACAAGTTTGAATTTTTGCGTGAAAGAGGCGCAGGGAATACTCGCTCTGGCTCGTCCACGCTGCGTATTCCTCATCATATGACGACTATTTATAACAAATCTTTTGTAGTAATTGCATGCCGCCTTTGGAACTCTGTACCTTATCCCATTAAATCCTTAGAAAGTCGATCCCGACTGACGGTGGCGCTGAAAGAATATTACCTTAACCGGATGGCCGTGGCGTGGCGGGATGGCGTGCATTAGGCCTGGGTGCAGCAGTGGGTGTATGTGTGTGTGATTGTGTGTTAGGGAAATACATTTATGTAATGTTGTTACACCTATTTGTTTATTTCAATCATTATTATTTTATTTTGTTAATGTTTATCAGTATTGTTAGTTTTTTTGAGGTTAACTGTAAGAAAGGACCTTGAGGTCCTAATTTCGCCTCAATAAAGAAGGATTTTCATTTCATTTCATTCAGCTTGACGAATTCCGCATTATAATAAAACATTTATTTCATCACAAAAGACAAAGTTTGAGTGTGCAAACCCAACTCGTTTTTAAGTTAAATTTGATCTTTGTAAGATGAAATTGTATCTTTTGACGTGTAAGATAATTTTTATGAAAATATTTTTGTTGAAATATATAACTTAAACCATAAATTATATATTACGTCTCGTCCTATTTTACTTATTTTCATTTTCTCCCAATCAAATTTATGTTGATGAAAATCCCTCTCAATCCGAAGTTACTGACTGGTAAAAAAACCTAAATGAGTTCAAAGGTTGGTATAAACAAAAGTTCGTCTGACGTTCAGGAATTTATTCGGGCAATGAACATAAGTGGGCAGACATTCTCAGACAAGAGCCTGACCTAAATTAAAACTTCCAGACGGATTCTTGCTGTGATAATTTGTTCGCCGAGCCGACACAAGTCTCAGAGTAAAATATAAATTGAGTGTAATACTTTTAAATCATTTGCAAAAATTTTCTTTAATTTTTACGTTTCTAACATAGAGTTTGATTTGTGGTTAGGCTTATTACAAAGTATAGGATGGAATTAATTTATATGATGAAAAGGTCATGTTAAGAAGTTGTGTTTAGTAGATGTACAACTATCGTTGGTGTAAAAAGTTTGAATTTTTTTTCGAGTACAATATAGTTGTAAGTATTGCTGAGAATTGAAAGAAAACGTTAGAATAAGTTTTTACTTACATATTTGTGTTATAGTGTATTTCTGTAATGCTATAATATTTATTAAATTCACTAGAGTTTGTTTTGGTCGCAAAAACACATTTTAACTGCAAGCGTTACTTTATTCTACTATTGAAGCAAACACGTTTTGTAACCAAATAAAAATAACAACTAAAAACTGAAGACACAATTCAACAAAAAATAAACTTATTTTCCCTATAAACTAAATGAATCTTATAAAGGGGTCAGTAAAATCAATATTGTATAGTCAACAGCACAAAGCCTTGGAAAACCACCGAAGCAAGTTTCACCTTGAAACACTAAAAAACTTCAAACCACTAACTACTGAGATAAATAACTCTTCTGCAAGGACTTTCAGACTCGATTGAAATAATCCTTTTTTTTATTTTCCACCATGAAACACCTCTATTTTGTATACAAACCAATATGTTTATGTTTTGTATACAGTTACAAAAAAACAGAATTAATACATTTATCACTAAATTAGGCATAATAAAGTTGACAAGTAATGTTTTTTTATGCTTGTAACATGAAGTTTTTGTTAAAGCCATTTGAACGAGAAGCAGACAGTAGATCAGGAGAAAGCAGCGTTCCTAAATCGAGAAACCGTTTGTCTGTGTGTCTCCTTATCTCACGTTTTGTTTTTCTAACAGGAAAGGTTTACTGTTTGTTCTTCTTTCTATTTGCCAACGTGGGGAAATTCTGCGGGGTATTCCTATTTTAGTTTTTACAAAACTACAGGAGAAGTTCGGAAAAGATGTCTACGGTACGTTAAGTAGCTAGTATGCTAGTACGTTAAGTTAGTCATAGGTATTATATTTTGAATGATAAGTTATATTTTGAAAGTTACTCAAAACCCCTACATAATTTGAAGGACATTTTTATTGCTGAATTTGTTAGGTCAATAGCTCAAACACTATTCGGAGTACAAGTACACAACTTGTACAGAACATGTATACGCATGGAGATTAGAAAAGATAATGTATGGCTCAAAACTAAAAACAAATGACTTCGCCGGCATGACTGTGAAATAACACTCATAACATCTGTGTTATGGACGTTTTCGACAGTTCTATTTGTGTATAAATACAACAATGTTTACATTTTGTGCCAGTGACGACATTTATTTATGTTCAAATTTTATATTTTTATTTGCATTAAAAAGAAATATTAGAATGAAATTACGATGAAAGAAATGTGTAGGAAGTACTTAAAATACGTCTAATAACACTTGGAATATATTTTTACACTTATACTGTTGACTCAAAAGACGGTAATACAAAAATATATCGTAATTGGTGATTCAGTGGATAATGTAAAGTAAGTGGATATAAAATCTACACATGCATTCAAATTAAGTTATGTTGTTTGACATAGCTAAGTCGATTCACAGGTTTAAACTATACGGGTTTATATATTTAACATATGACTCTAATACTTAACATATGCAATTTTACCGTTGATAAAGTACAGCAGTAATACAAGTTGCCCTTAACAATCAGTCTAACATTTCACGTCAACAATGGACGATCAACAATTACAAATCCACACAACAATGACGGCTACTGAGAATGACAAACACCTGGCTGACGCTTGTGCTGACGTTGACCCACATATATCACGTGGTATATCAGACTCAGCATTTTGCTGATGCAAGACATTTATATCAGAGGTCAAATGCTGAAGCACTACAACAATGCGGAAGCTATGAATCAAATAGACAAACTACACGTTTGTACTTCAGGTATGATAGAGCAGTATTGGTGTGTTTGAGTTGGAGAAATAAATTTGTAATGTTTCTTGTGTATAAACATATAATTCGCTTAAACATATATACAGTTTTAAATATACAGAACGGAGTATGGACCTTGAGTTAAAAACGTTTTCAAGATGCTGCAATGGTCATTTTTTCTGTTGCCATCGAAATAACAGTTCACCTAGTAGGCTATTACCAAAGTGATGTTGAAGAAACCACTCCCCCCCTTTTAAAAATTTAACCCTTTAATAGGCCTATCATTTTCCTATCGTCACCACGAATCAAGAAGAAATCTCAAAATTGTTGACTTCAAAGCCCTAGTTAAGGTTGATTATTACGTAATCTATTTAAAAAGCGAAGGTTGGGTTTAAACTGGAAAAATATAGTCTATGCATTTTGCTATATAATTGTAGAAAATGTATAACCAAAGTAGGGATATTAACGGATTATGACTATCTATGTACACAACAGTCCTTTTGAAAATTACAATTACAGAAAAGTGCACATCAATTTCAATTAGTTTTGACGAGTTGAATCTGATTGATATGAAACTTGATTGGTCACCTAAACTATTGCTAAATTGTAAAACGGTTTAATATAAAGTGTCATTTGAAAAATTTTCCCATTTATTAATACTAGTCTAGATTTAAATATACACACAGAGCTATTATTTGATTGATACTCATTATTTTCGGTGAAGCGTTAGATTTATGACTAATGTATTTAACGTAATATGTTATCTTAGGATATAAAACATTGCAAGACATACTATCAGAATGACGTTTAAACTAAAAATAATATTTTACGGTTTTCTACTGCACACAAATTTAACTGTTCAATGATTTGACTTTAAAACATAACCTCAATCACGTTGAACATTACCAATCTGTTGTACTTTTCATAAGTTTTAAATAATACAGTAATTTATCTAAAGAAAATTTATCAAACCTTACTTGTGTCATATAATCTACTAATCATCCCTGCATTATCACTGAGCAGGAAATTCCGTAAAAATAAAAAACATGGTGTAGTACTAACCTAACCACAAAAATCATGAAGATACAATCGAAAACATACCTCTCACAGTCAACGTCGTAAGACATAAACTTAACTACAAGTCAGCTGTTCTCAAGACTCAGCTGTCTGACTAATGATTACAGCTGATTGTTGACTTGGCCTTGACTATAGTTGGTGTTTAATGCAGCTAAGGTTAACAACTGAAACCGAGTTCGTTAACTTGCGTGAATCGAGTTTTTCTTAGGAGAATAATGCAATGTATTTTTTCCGGCATTATTTTTTATTTTGATCATTAGTAGTTTTAAGTTTCTTATAATAGGAAAAAGTTTATTTTGTTTTACTACTTGAAATAAAAAACCTGAACACTATCGATCAATGAAAATAATAAATGGTATATAACTGAAAAAATAAATGTTTTGAGTCATCTTTCTGATGTTGTTTGGTAAAACCTTGCAATGAAATTTTACATGTTCTACAACCAACTCTTCTCAAACGCTTAATAATTTTGCTATGTAGGCCTGTGGAACATATGGAAATGGAGGTAATGTGGTGTTTATTCGTAAACCTTTACTTCATTTTTAATTGTTTGAAACATTGAAAAAATATTAAAAAGTTTACAGATATTCCGTAATTTACGTTGTTGAACATTATATTGTATTTACGTTATTGTGACAATATTACGTGTGCATTTAGTACAAGCTCCAGTAATTGATGTAGGCCTTATTCTTAAAATTATCAAAGTTCTTAAACAAACGTTACTATTAATTATTGTTCTTTTTTTCTGAAGCAGCAAATGACTAACAAGAGATGATACAAACGTACCTTACTCTATATTCATTCAAATGTACGTGAAATACATAGTTTATTTACCGACGAAACTTTAGAAGCATAACCTCTTTGCCTTCTTTTACAATAGTATTGACAAACTATTTAAGTTTCATAATAAAACCTACTAATGATGTAAAAAAAAACTTACCGTAATTATCTCAGGAAACGATTACCAAGTTGGAGCGTAGCAAATGGGATCAAACTGTAAAATTACTGATTAACACAAAAACCACACATATTTAAATTTAAATTATTGTTCAGTAAACGCACTAGAATGTAAGTTCCATTGAAATCCTGTTCCCACACCCAACAACACACTTCAAACCAAACCGGCTCCCTGCTCTACTCCCAGCTAACTGGGGGACTGACTATTAAAGTACATGAGTGTCCGGTCTACAACAGTAGTCCTGCATGCTACGTCACGTGACAGCATTGTCAGCTGTTCATTAGACCGTGTCCTGGATCCTGTATTGCTGTGTGTTCCACATTCAGGCAGCTAATGAGTCACTGGTCTACAACAGTAGTCCTGCATGCTACGTCACGTGACAGCATTGTCAGCTGTTCATTAGACCGTGTCCTGGATCCTGTATTGCTGTGTGTTCCACATTCAGGCAGCTAATGAGTCACTGGTCTACAACAGTAGTCCTGCATGCTACGTCACGTGACAGCATTGTCAGCTGTTCATTAGACCGTGTCCTGGATCCTGTATTGCTGTGTGTTCCACATTCAGGCAGCTAATGAGTCACTGGTCTACAACAGTAGTCCTGCATGCTACGTCACGTGACAGCATTGTCAGCTGATCATTAGACCGTGTCCTGGATCCTGTATTGCTGTGTGTTCCACATTCAGGTAGCTAAATGAGTCACTGGTCTACAACAGTAGTCCTGCATGCTACGTCACGTGACAGCATTGTCAGCTGTTCATTAGACCGTGTGCTGGATCCTGTATTGCTGTGTGTTCTACATTAAGGTAGCTAAATGAGTCACTGGTCTACAACAGTAGTCCTGCATGCTACGTCACGTGACAGCATTGTCAGCTGTTCATTAGACCGTGTCCTGGATCCTGTATTGCTGTGTGTTCTACATTCAGGCAGCTAAATGAGTCACTGGTCTACAACAGTAGTCCTGCATGCTACGTCACGTGACAGCATTGTCAGCTGTTCATTAGACCGTGTCCTGGATCCTGTATTGCTGTGTGTTCTACATTCAGGTAGCTAAATGAGTCACTGGTCTACAACAGTAGTCCTGCATGCTACGTCACGTGACAGCATTGTCAGCTGATCATTAGACCGTGTCCTGGATCCTGTATTGCTGTGTGTTCCACATTCAGGCAGCTAATGTGTCACTGGTCTACAACAGTAGTCCTGCATGCTACGTCACGTGACAGCATTGTCAGCTGTTCATTAGACCGTGTCCTGGATCCTGTATTGCTGTGTGTTCCACATTCAGGCAGCTAATGAGTCACTGGTCTACAACAGTAGTCCTGCATGCTACGTCACGTGACAGCATTGTCAGCTGTTCATTAGACTGTGTCCTGGATCCTGTATTGCTGTGTGTTCTACATTCAGGCAGCTAATGAGTCACTGGTCTACAACAGTAGTCCTGCATGCTACGTCACGTGATTGCATTGTCAGCTGTTCATTAGACCGTGTCCTGGATCCTGTATTGCTGTGTGTTCCACATTCAGGCAGCTAATGAGTCACTGGTCTACAACAGTAGTCCTGCATGCTACGTCACGTGACAGCATTGTCAGCTGTTCATTAGACCGTGTCCTGGATCCTGTATTGCTGTGTGTTCTACATTCAGGTAGCTAAATGAGTCACTGGTCTACAACAGTAGTCCTGCATGCTACGTCACGTGACAGCATTGTCAGCTGTTCATTAGACCGTGTCCTGGATCCTGTATTGCTGTGTGTTCCACATTCAGGTAGCTAAATGTGTCACTGGTATACAACAGAGGTCCTGCATTCTAATGTATAATAACACAATTAAACTCTACCAGAATAAATAAATGTATTATTAAAACACCTTGATAAGTTAACTGGTAATTTTTTTTTATTATACTCAAAACACCTATCGACCACACCTAATAACTATAATCTAAACTAACCTAACCTAAGGATAGTTAGGTTAGGTTAGGAAGATTTTGTTATTTAAACAGATTAAAATCTTACTTGACAGTCGATTTATCGGTTTGGTCGGTATAATACCAAAGTACCTAACTTATTTTTGCTTACTTTTTTTCCATTGCAACTACATGATACTAATATAAAAAAATATTACTAAACTTATGTGAGGTTTTAAGTAATTTCTTTCCAACTTAGCATTTTTCTCTCTTCTACATTGTACACACACACACGTTTCCTCCAGTGCAAAACTGAAGCAGACTGTAAACTTAAATTGCAATATCCTCAAGGATGCAGACAAACATCAAGTTATATATTACCAGAGCCATGTTATATACACAACCTACGAAGTGCTGAGTTCTCTACGTGTCGGTAAACATATTTGCCCCTGTTACGGCTGAGGGATCATACAGACGTTGCAATAACCCACTGGTTCACATGTAGTAATAGACTTGAATGCTTTAGTTTTGAGGTATTAAATCTGCTAACAAACATGTGTCTAATTGTGTTTATCTAATACAATGTATTTACATATTTTAAAACGTTTTTATTTGCTCCTTTTCTTGTCCGGTACAAATTTTGCAATCAATTTTAAACCAACTTCCCGATGAGCTTGAGGCTTGAAACTTGAAACATAGCTCACAAATGGATGACAATGCAATATTATATCATTTAATTTTCATATTTCCCTTGGGCTACGCCCCATGGGCTTAAAAATTCTTCGTGGTTACATTTTGAAAGAATGTAAATATATAAATTAATTTAAGTCAGCTGTAAATACTTAAATTTGACAGTTCAAAGAGCAGAGGTTAAGAGGTACAGGTTCTGCTCCCGAGATATTCTAAAAATATAAAACTAGTATTTCAAAGTAAAGATGAAACAACTGATTACAGATAATAAGGTTTGGGTTATGTAAACAGGCCATATAAAACAGATTTAACATATTTACACATTAAAGACTAAAAATAAAAAATAATTTTTAAATGTAAATAATTTTTAAAATGCCACATTTTTAAACGCACTAAAAAGCATAAAATAATTTGTAAATATGTTGAGAGAATAAATACTTGTAAGAATTAAAACGAAAAACGTGGGGCGCATGCAATAGATCATAATAGTTCAATAGGTGAAGTTAATTGTAAATTAGCATGCGTCCCACAATTTTCATTTTAAATCTTACAAGTATTTATTCTCTCAACATATTTATAAATTATTTTGTACTTTTTAGTGCGTTTAAAAACGTGGCATTTAAAAAAAAGTATTTTTATTTATAAATTATTTAAATTTCTAAAACTAACGGTTAGCGTTGTAGATTGTTTTTCTAATGTTTTAAAATGGTGCCCTCGAAGTTTGTAAGAACATAGAACCAGGTTTTAGGTTACTAATGTTATATATTATTATATTAAAAGGAAAGTCTAGAAAGTTCAGAAATACCTTATGATTCTCTTGTTTACATTTTTATTGTAAACAAAAAAACTGTCATGGCTACTTTAGTCCCATAAGCCTAATGTTAAATATTGAAAATTTTAAGTTCGTTTTAAATTGCATTAGCATTATCTAATTGAAATTTGTTTGTCTAAAAACCATCTCACTATTAGTTTAAGTAATTTTGTTAAGTTTGGCTGAAATGCGTTCAGCCGTTATTGAGTGATGTTTCTCTATTTGTTGCATTGAAGTTGATCCCAAAGCCTTCAGCCCCTTTTTAACCATACGTAATTACGGATATGATTCCTAGAGGAAGAATTACGTTATTCCCGTGTTCAATGTATCGGCAGTTGGACTTTAAATGGTTAAGACATATCAATATTTAAGTTGTATCGTATCCGACTATAGTTCCATAAATACATCACTTTTTAGGAGAAAGATTTAATGTAAAAGTATGGAAAAGTCTGTAAACACAAAAAACCCAATCAAGTATATGCATCAAAAATATAGTTGTCTGAGCATTATTTAACAAGCCAACTTCAACTGTATTTAGTTTTTCTCTATGTCTAAACTCTTTTCAAAGTGTTGTATTAGTGAGTAAACAAAAATCATACTAGTATGCCTATAGGTACTACGGAATTAGAACACATCTGTATAAAAAAACTGCATTAACATGTATCCCTGAACTTTATTCTTTTTTAGAATAATACATGTTTTGTTTTGATGTTTTGGTACTTTTCATGGTTATAGCCTGGAATAGTGTTCCACATTAAGGATGACCTAGAGTGGGTCACGGATTAAATCGATTCTTGATTGACGGGATTTGAACCCGGTATCTATGGGACCGAAGGCTCCCGCTCAACCGCACTAGGCTAGCTCCATCCCATCAATGTTATAATATTAAATTATTATATTACTATACAAATTAATTAAGACTCTCAATAAAAATTTTTACTGATTTCTAAAAAAATTAATTCTTTACTTGTTTATTTTTGGACACATCGTGTATTTCAGTGACCATTCAAAACTGTTGTATATTTACTTTGAATCTACCACAGTATTAAAAGACTTGCAAGAAAATCACGCTACAGATTTGGGGAACCCCTGTATCTCTAAATGCGAAATAGAAGAATTCCGACGCTTTCAAAACACACAATAGACCCTGTTTTGAAATAATCCGAGATTTCCTTCCATTACTTATGATTAGTCAGCACTTTTATAGCTCTCTCCTATATACATCCCACGATACTAAATATGTGTACAACTATTGCTTATTAACTTAAAGATGTTGAGATACTCAGCACTTAAATCAGTGGAAAATAACCGGTGGTATCATCATTATAAATAAAATGTATTGTGAGCAACCTGGTTCAATTTCAGATCGCAAGGGTTCGTACCTGAGGTCCCGGATTCTAATCTCACAAATGATTAATACTTTTTAGCTAAGTAATAACTCCGCGATCCTGTGACCCTAGCATATGCGAAAACAATTACAATATGTTCACTTGTTTTAAATTTACACTTAAAATGCATGATTACTATAATATTTACACTTACCAAGTTATCAATGATATTCCAACTGGTTAAGATAAAGTTAGCACCATACACAATTCACTGTAATCACAAATAAATGGCACTTATTTTCCTACATTTTAAATTCAAAAAACCTTTTTAGAAATACTAAAACAATAGATAACCTCCTTGATAAACGTTTCGGGCACACACTTGCTAGGAGGACGGGAAGGCACTGAAAGCTATGCAGCGTTAAGTCACGGACGGGTGAAAGTTCCTGAAAGACCTTATGCAACCT